GTCGCATTTGTGCCTCAGAGTTCACTCAATCTGTAAGTTGTGGGTTCCATTCCATATCACGACAATCTATAGGAGTCTGACTAAGAGCTCTCGCAAACATCTATGAATGGAGATCAGGAACCTCGTTGCGGAAGTCTAGGGCCCTTAGGTTCTTGGAGGAGAATTTATTTCCATCACTGGGGCCCCAAGACAAGCAAGATGGGGCTCCTTTTCGGTCTTCACAAGTTTGAGAGTTCAGGATTGAATTTCAGACTATGCACTAGTTGATGTTGGATTTAGTGGGTTGCCCTTCACTTGGATTAGCAGCACTTTCAAAGAAAGATAGGATAAGGTACTCATTAATGGGGAATGTTTGACAGACTTTCAAGATGCCTAGGTTTGTCACCTCCAAACTCTCAAATCCTATCATCACCCGATCATGTTGGAGCTTGATGGGACCAGTGAGGTTTCATGAGGTAATTCACATTTTTTTATTTCTAGCTCCTTGGTTATCCTATGTTGATCTTCCTTGGTTCATGCACGATCATCGTAGAAAGGAGGCAATTTTTTGTCCTTACAAGAGCTAAAGGGGAAACTGAAGGAGTGGAATCATCAAACCTTTGGCCATATCTTGGATAAAAAGAGGCAGCTCTAGCAAAGCTTGATAGAGCTTGAAGCGCGAAATGAAACCTCACGAACTTTGGGTGTGTCAAGGAGGAGAGGTATATTCCGATGGAGTTTGGCCGAGTTATGTAGGATGAGCAACTAACCTGTTACCAGATTTCGCGGCCTAAGTAGTTTCGGGATGGGGATCAGATCACTCATTTCCACTTGACGACCAGAAAGTGTCAAACGACCAACCTGACTGGTGTCCTCATAAAGGATTCGGAGAGGGGGAAATTGATATGACATAACTTGGGTGTATGGTGTGAGAGTTCTATGTCCTGGTTTATAATTAGGAGTGTGGGTTGAACCATGTAATCCCAATGAATTTACCTAACACCCCGAAGCCAGAGGCAGCTGGGCTTGCAGTGCTACTTACTGAAGTGGAGGTTTTGAAGGCGGTTAAGGCGATAGGGCCCTTAATTCCCTGGAAAGGATGAGTTTCATATGACATTCTACTAGAAGTGTCGGGACATGTTTGGAGCACACTTTGAAAGGTTTGTTCGGACATGATTTATTGATCCAATTCAGGTTAAACAAGTGAATGAGACTCTTTTAGTCTTCATCTCAAATAAGACTAGTATAGAGCGAGTTACTAACATATGGCTCATCAATATTTGAAATGTCGTGTATAAGTTCCTGATCAAGTGCCTTGCCAATACACTCAAGACTCTGATGCCCAAACCACTCAAGTCGACCCAGACCGACTTTATGCTCGGGAGACATATTACTCACAATATTAAGGTGTTTCATGAAGTAGTCCATAGTATGAGGCGCGGGACAAGATGGACAAGTCAAATGGTACTTCACATTGGTTGGGACTTTCTTGAGGAGATCATGTACACTACTAGACTTCCTAATGGATTTGTGAGAGTGGTTATGTGTTGTGTTTCCTAGTCATCCTTCAATGTGCTATGAGAAGGAAATGCGACAGAGGCATTTATCCCATCACGGGACATCTGACAGGGATGTCCTTTGTCTACATATCAATTCACGTTGTGCATGGAACGTCTAAATCAAACAGTTGAGGCAAAAGTTAACACTGGCGCATGGAATACCACTCATGTTGGTTTGAGGAGATACACCACTCTCTCACCTCTTTTTTGTTGATGATTTGGTGTTGTTTGCAGAAGCACCATTAATGAACATGTAAAGGTGGTTGTGGATTTCATGAAAAACTTTGGGGAATATTTGGAGCAACTAGTAAGCTGCGACAAGTCTCGGGTTTTACTCTCTAAGAATACACCCCGATAATATCTAAGAATACACCTCGACAATACTGTTATGAAGTGAGTGTGATCCTAGATATTCCGACGACTTGGATCTTGGCAAGTACTTAGGGGTGGAGATATTGCATGATAGAATTACGAATGGTACATACAATTATGTATTGGATAGAATTGACAATAGGCTAGTAGGTTGGAAGGTTAAGACGTTTCTCCTCGCCCGAAGGGTAACACTAGTTCTTTCAGTTTTGAATATTATTCCTTACATTACAAAAATAATTGTGCTTCTGGTCTCTGTTTGTGCTGAGATTGACAAAAAAACAAAGGTTTTGTTTTTTTTGCGGGGAGGGGGGCTGAGAACGGGAAGCAGAAGATGAGTCTTGTGGTATAGAAAGATATTTTCAATCCCAAGGAGTAGGTCAGGCTAGGGCTCCGGCGGGTGAAGGATCTGAATACTGCTTACCAATATTGTCAACCCGCTGGTCAACCTGCCGGCCAATCGAATCTACCCAGAAGCGCTGGAAGTAACGGGCGCCAGGAATCGTTGGTGAACATCTTCCTAGATCCAGACTTGCGTGAATCAAAAAATCAATTGGAGTAGGACTCTACGGAGTGGTGGCTAACATAGGAGTGGGAGTGAGGCAGGGAAGGGGACGAAATAGTCTGGGCAGGGCGGTAGGGAGGAAGAAAATGTGGCTCTGGGAATGGACCTGGGGAGTGAAGGGAAACAGGGGGAATGAGTGAGTACTCAGTTTGGCAGTTCGTTTTGTTATTTTCTTTTTTATGGTTATTATTTTTTAAACAAGAGTGTAGAGTTAATGTTATATTATTATATGGTATTGTAAATAAATTATATTTTAATTCTCAAATCACTACAATATATGTGTATATTCTTTAAAAATAAGGCTAAACCAGGTTAATCCTAACTAAAAGGATCCAACCATTAACCTTTATCCCACTTGCTAAATATGGCTAACATGCTAAATCAGGTTAACAACCTTGATGTTTACATACTAAAGTTGGCTCGAGGTGTCTTGAAGAATCCTAATGAGTTCTGGGTGAAGATCCTTGTCAATAAGTACTTTTGCACGACGAGTTATACAATCATAACAGGGCGTAAAACGAGTCACTCTGTATTTTGGAGGGGCATAAGAGGTGCATGGAAATTAGTGACCGAGTGGGTACAAGCGCAATGGCCATACTATTAGCTTCTTGTATGCCACTTCACTTGACAGCGGCGTTTGATTAGGGGATCAGGTGTTGTCGGACCTCAGGATAAGCCAGTGGTGGCTTTTGTCCTCGATAATTGGGAGTGAGCTGGTCCATCCTATCCCATCTTTACGTAATGGTTTGTGTTTGCAAGTTATGGAGATGCCAACGCCTAAAGAGGAGCTTGGATAGGACACTATATCTTGGGATCTCGAGCCTAATGGATGGTTCTCGATTCGATCAGCATACAGTCTTGAGGCCTCCCTGGAGGAAGGAGCTGAACTTGAATCATGGAAGAGGATCTGTAAATGGTCTGGTCCATACCGTATTCATCACTTCATGTGTCTTGTTGGACATGGTCGACTCTTGACGAATGTGGAACTTTTGAAGCAGTTGTGCTATAAGTGGTTCTGCAAGATCGCCATGCATGTCCTGGAAAAGCTTATTGCTTATGGCGTTCATCCAATTACAGTATCAAGTACTTCATTTATGGCATCTATTCAAGTAAAATGGAATTCAACGAGGTCAATGTGCTTATCATGATTACCAGCTTGAAGTAATAGCTTGAAGGATCTACTTGTACTATGGTCTATGGGATCTTCATTTAGTCAAGAAAGTTTGTAAAAAATTATTTGTGTTATTCGCAGACTCGAAATGATATTTGGTCGATGAGGATGAATTTGATTACATGAAGATATATTTTCTTAGAGATATCAAAGCCCAACAAAGAAGTTTGAGGTCTGATTCTCTCTCTGACATCTTTTACCAAGTTTGTGTCTGAATCTACTCTAATGGTGCCAGTGATTTACCCCATTGTTGAACTGATCTCCTAAGGATTTTGAATCAAAGCTGTAAGTAGCTAAAGTTGCATCAAATGTTTTTGTTGACACCAATCACGTGGAGCTAGTGCTCTCCAGACTCCATAGGTTATAATGTAGTTGAGCAAAGTTTTTGGCGTATGTTTTGTGAGTGATAGGAGGCAATGAAGCAAATATACCAAAGAGCACTCAAGGCAGCGAATAATTTCGGCTATTCGAAAGAGAACCCCAGTAAGTTTCCCAGTTTATCTATGCAGGTAATCTTTCACTTCTCAACTTTCTACTATTATATAGGAAGAAAATCTGGAAAAAAGTCCTTAACTTAAGATCTACTTAGGGATAGCAAAAATATCCGTAACCGTGGATATCTGCCCGAATCCGGCCTAATCGGGTAGGGTAAAACCCAAATCCGAAGGACATTTAGTGGGTACGGGTAAAACCCGAACCCAAATATTGCGGGTAATGGGTGGGCATGGGTTTCTCACTATCCGACCCGAACCCGCCCGATTATACACATGCATATATTTTTTGTCTAGAAATAATCATTATTTTTCTCTAACATATTTTATATTTAGCATATAAATATAATATTTTCATGAAATTGTGTTGTTTTAGTTAATTTTCTTCATTCTAGTGAATTCTTGTCGTACTTTTTCTCTTATTTAATATAAGAATACGTGTGAATGTTAACATATTGGTTGGAGTTATGAAGAGAAATTAATACCCATGGATAACCGTGGATACCCGAAACCCGAACAGGTATGGGCATGGTTTTGATTTTCTACCCATTTCACATGTGGGTATGGGTATGGGTAAAACCCGAAGTACTTTGGGTAGGGTAACGGATATGCACTATCCGCCCCCGACCCGACCCATTGCCATCCCTAGATCTACTTCATCACTACTGAGAGATATCATTCTTGTTAATGCATGTTGCAACTTCTTGACACACAGGGCTTTGGTTCATGGGTCTGTGATTTCTTCATTTCTGGCTATGACTTACCAAGGATGTGTATAGATTACATCCAACAACGGTGTATTGTATGTTGCATTCTTGAGACTTTCATATTTCCTGCCTGCGCTGGGAAACAAAAGTTTATCCTTTTTGAAACAAAAGTCTACCTGCAAATTCAGTTTCACAAAATTGTCCTGTCTGCTCTCGCGGTTCTCGCATTCTTCGAATATGCAAAGCAGAAAGAGGTTCCAATCCACATCCGCCACTCCAATTCAAAATTAGCAGCAAAGTTATAGTCTCACATTATGTTTTGATAAAACACAGCCTAGATTACAACACATCATTAATAAGTTCATCTAGTTGGCTCTCCTTGAAGAAGAATGATGAGATTATGAGTTGGATTTCTCGGCCAGATAGTGCTCCAGCATGTCTTCTTCTTCGTCATATGATATGTTATGAAAATAAAAAGGTTTATGATGAGAATCAAACCAAGGGTGGCATTGAATGAAAGAGCATCAAAATAAATAGTGGTTTGAAATAACAATAAGTGAACAACCATCAAAATCGTCGTCATCAAAGTCGATATCTTCTTCATCTTCCTCCTCGGACCTTTCATTGACAGGTGCTGCACCTCTCTGCAGGGAGGACAATCGTAGCATTTAAGCTTTCCATTACGTTTAAGACTGATTATTTATGACTAATAATAACATCATTAGTTTCTACTGTGTTTATCTAGAAAACTTGTCGCAACAAACAGTCAGCAACAGAGGTATAACATACCCCTTTACCACTTTCAAACCATTGTCTGCCTGTAAGCTTATTCTCTTTCGGAGCGGATAGTACAGACTCTGGCATCAACCTGAAAATGGTTATTAGCCATTAATTATCAGTGAAGAATATTTAAGGAAAGAGACATCACTCTTGGCATTAATTTCAGCAAGGGAACCATGTTGAAAATACACAGGCTTTTATTTTATACACTTGTTGCTATAAAACATTTATAATGTGAGATATAAGCCTATAGTCGAAGGCAAACCTCAACAGTTCAAGATTATACAAGCAGATAGCCGAAGAGCTGCGCAGGAAATTAAAAATTTGCAGGCATTGACACATCGAAAAGCAAGATCTTTATTGATCATAAGGTGAGGTACATTATAGAACAGATACACAACTCTGTCAAATTGATACTCTTTTTTGGATTGTAAGAACTTTCTGATGTGTTGAAACCCCCCTAAGGTCTCAAGAATAGAACATTTTTCCACTTCCAGAGTTATAATTGGTTCTAACAGATATCAATATATAACTCTTTCTATCATTAGGGTTAGTATAAAAAACACTATAGTTTTACAAACCACCATCAACCTTCTCGTTCATCGTGAGGGGAAGTCTTTTGTTCAAATTCCAAGTTGGCTTTTAAATGAGACATAGCATTTTCAAATGTTCAGTTCCTCTCAAGTGCACAGTTAATCTTAACTTGAAAATGAAACCTGTGGTCCCCATCTTTCCACCAAGGATATGAATATCACTTAATAACTAGTTTTGGCATGAAATAAACATTCGTGCAACTTACTTTGCTCGCTCAATTGCCAACTCTGCTTCAAATCTCTCTCTCCATGCAATGAAAGTCTCAACGGTGACTGGTTCTCCATGTGGTATAATTACCTATCACCAAGCAAGATAAGATATGCAGAGATGAAAAAAAAGGCATCAGTGTGGAAGAACAGAGAAGCTACCGAGGAACCAGGTGTAATAAACATGTTGTAAGAGATATACTTACATCATCTTTGATTGCCTCAAGGTCCTCAGTATCATCATTCTCATCATCTTGACCATATAAATCAGACAGCCAATCTTTAGCTGACGAAACCAGTGTGTAGATCATTGCCATACCTAGATTTTCATATGCCTGTAAGAGTACAAGTCAAATTATACCGCTAATCACAAACTTTCTAAAGTTTATCAAGTAGTACGTTCACCTTATAGTTGTCATAACTACGAAAGATGTTTTTGAGTTCCGTGTACACTAGTTAAACATAATTCAATCGGTAAGAAAAAAAAACCACAACCCTATGTCATCCCGAATCTTGAAGCTCAAATGAAGTCAAAAGTGGTATCAAGATTTATTGCGTCAGCTTAGCATGTAGGGCAGGAAATCGTAATAATACCGAGTTTCTTGGTTCTTGCAGTGCATGGTAAATTTTCAGTTAGCCATAAACCAAACATACCTGGAAGAGTGCACTACTTTGATATAAATCACAATAGACCACATGGTTACCTCTTGTACAAGCTTTTCTTTTAACTTCTTAAGATCACTTGGCTGTACACCTTTTATGCTGACAAAACACAGAAACAAAGAGGAACTAATAAATAAAAACACTCATGATTTTCCAATACGTACTATCTTTTATTGCAAATGTCCATTCGGAGCTGACATGAATATCTTTTCATCCCTGGGAGGTACAACAACAACTGAAACATAATACTTTTGCACTTCTAACTCTCCAATCTTATAATATATTAGAGACAAGGGATTTCAAGCAAGTATACGGAAAAGAAGGTATCTAATCTATTGATACAGCTACATGATGCAGAAGGAACTGTTGTAGACTCTGAAAAGCCAGACAAAGTTGAGAACAAAAGTAACATTGGGATTCCTTTTCCTTCTTAATACTAACCTTGTCACATTCAAAAGTGGCGGTTCATCTGGATATTTTTCTGTGTGGGCGAAAATTAGGCCTAGCTGAACTGCAAAGAGTTGCGGCAATTTTATCGAAAAGCTGGAATAGCAAAGGGAGAGATTAGGGATTCAGCAACCACTTATGGTCACGGAAAGGACAACAATGAGTAAACAAGAAAAGGGATAACCTGGGGTAGTTGTTGACTGGTCTATGTCATCATCTTGTTGATCATAAAAGTACATATAGAGGTCATTTTGCATGGGAGAATAATATGAAAGGGCAGAAAGTAAGACAATGTTAAACACATCATGGATAGTAAACTACCAGGAAGCGACAGAAACAAATGACTCACTAGCATCTTAGTGAAATTGGTCTGACACAAATATGAGAAGCAAGATGCTAACCACCAAGTTCAAAAAACCTTTGTGTAAAAAGAAGAGGTAGCGCCATGACTCATGAGAAGGACAGTACCTGTGGAGTGATCGTTATCTGGAAACAGCGAGATGAGGTATTTAAACCACTCTCAGAGGAATGGATTTCTGACAATAAAACCAAAATCGACTTAAAATTATATTCCAAGACAAGGAATCACAATTGGCATCACCAAACTAACCAAACATTTACGTACCTTTGAACTCGTCCATAACTATAGCTTCCAATGCTTCAATTTCCATCTCCTGCTCTTGTGCATACTCTAATCATTGCAACAAAAGAACATATTCATATAAACATCATAAAGTTATAATTTTTATCCACCATCAATTCATTTCTTATTGCACCACCCTAATGAGGTTGGCTGATCATAAACAACAGGTTCCAATAGACTAAAACCTACATACAATGACACTCTTAACTTCTAGCAATCATCAAAAGTAGAATTGATAGACTCCCTGGATAATCACTCCATTATCAGAAATCCATGCCAGACTTCCCTCAATCCACCTCCTCCGACACTAATTTATCATAAGAGAAAAAGCAAATGCAGGTTCTTGTAAGCTCTAATTCTCTATCCTGTCAGGTTTCCACAATCCACGTCAGCATCTACGTTGGACAACATAACCCCACCCACCCCCAAACCATGGAGCAGAGTTGGAACTTGAGCCAAACTGAACTAAAGGATGAATGCAATTTCAGCCCAAAAACATAATTTCATACTGGGTGAATGGGCAAGTGACTGAAGAGAAACTTAAAAAGGCGACAACTTTATCCATGGAGCAGAGTTGACACTTGAGCCAAACTTAACTAAAAGGACGAATGCAATTCAACCCCAAACATAATTTCATACTGGGTAAAAGGGCAAGTGAATGATCGACGGATTGGTTAAGAAAGGAAGGAAGAAAGATAATTTTACCAGTCATGGTTGGCTAGAATCGCTACACTCTTTCTTTCTCTCTATGAATCGACGACTTTTTTTTTTGGGTAAGAACGACGGCTTTCTTCAATGGAGAATGTTGTCCGGTTGAGATCAAACTGCCATGAGACAGCTGAGGCCTGAGCAAGAGACGGGGAGAAGCAAAACCTATCGCCTCCCGCAAAAACGACCTCGTCCATACGATTACTTGGGACCAAGGTTGTCAACCCATTTAGTCCGTTGGTCGATCTAGCAAGTGGATTGAGAGAATGGTCCAACCATTTTAGTTTCTTTAGCTTGAATATATGAGAAATTCATTGTTTATATATTTATAAATTATATTAAATCTCGTCTAACATATAAACTACAAAATTACATCAAAATAACATGTTATATTTGGATCCAACATATAGTGAAAATTCACACTTCTACACACTAATATAACATCAATATTCAAAAGGTTCAACTTAGAATTCCGAAGATAGGGTTAGGTGAAAAGGAAAACCGAAAAATATGAACATTTCACATACCGAACAGAAAAATGATATCGTGTGACCGCCAACCCGACAACCTTGCAGCGGGTCGACGACGGGTCTGTGCGACCTGTTTTTACCAACGGGTCATAGCCGGTACAATAGGGTTAAACCGTACTGGTCATAAAATCTGTTGGAATGCTCTCGATATGACTAGAAATGGGGTTTATTTTCCAGAAATACCATTGTTTAAAAAAATTACAAAAATACCACCCAACCCAAAAATATTCCTAATCTACCACCATTATTTGAAAGCCGCACACTGAAGGCGCGGTTTTTGGGAGAACCACATGTTGTGGTGACGGTTTAAATTATTTGAGAAAACCCCCACACGAAAAGACGGTTTAGTGGCTGACCTAAGACAAACCGCATGTTGATGGAGCGGTTCTACGTCCATAATAGAAACCCTAACACCCTATAGAGCAAATGCTTCCAACCGGTCAGTTCGTCAACACTCGGTGGTGGAAGGTCGTTCACACATCATACCACTTTGCCATCGATGGGCAGATGAGTTAGGATGACGATGTCCTTTAGTGTGTTCGTGCACTCTCATTCGCGAAAGTTGAAGTTATGTGTCTCCTTTCGTCATCCCTACAAAGTGCCTAATCGACTCCATCTTGCCCTTTTGAGAAAGGGCAAGATGGTGTCGTTCCATGGGAGTACCTTGCTCGTACTCCTATAGCGGATTATATGGTGTGGATCCTAGCAAAAATTTTAACTTTCACCATAAGTTTATGGTATACTAATTTATAAATCTAAAATAACAAACAAATTAAATAAACAAAAAAAAGGTCTTCATCATAAAACAAATATATTCAATTAATTAAAATAAATAACATTTTAAATTAATAATTTAAAGATATACATATTCAAATATTTGAAATTAATAAAATTAATTTGGTACACATACACATTAATCCCTTACATTATTGTGTAAATCGTATTGCTTGTTTTCAATAATTTAATCGAATACAAGTACACTCGTGTTAGACTCTTAGAAAAGGTATACCTGCTTAGAAACACAACCTTTTTGACAGAGAAAGGGGGAATCTGAGGATCGCTTAAAACCCAATTTTCCCAGGAAATGGGAGGATCATGATGATCACTTAATATCACATTTCCTTAGGCATGCATCTCTTTATAAAGAGTCTAAGTAAGTGGCGCATTGTATTAGGCCAAACCATTTGAAAATAATCAATACGATTAAAAATTATCAAATTTATTTTATAAACTACTAACACGCTAACAAAATAAAAAAATAACAAATGATGAAGCATTGTATGTATGTACCTCGTGAAGAGTTCCAAATATCCATTGAACGATGGTTAGGTTGGTCGTACAACATGCTCTGATCACTCGGTTCTTGGTCAACATAATATCTCTGATTGTATATATACACGTCCTCCCCAACCTACGATAGAATACCAACAACATAAATTAATTAGTATATAGATTAATTAAAAAAATTATAATCCACTGGAAAGCCATCAGGTCCAGGGGCCTTACCCTTTCCCATATCAGCAAACACTTTTCTAATTTCCAACCTTGATACCCCCTGCATAAGCTCTTCCCCATCCTCAGTACTCAAATAGGATGGCAAAAGTTTTACCTAAATTGATAAGTAAGTCACAATCTGCTTTTGTTAAAGGAAGGGCTATTAGTGATAATATCATGTTAGTCTCTGAGTTAGTGAGGGATTACCATAAAAAGTAATTACTCCCAGATGTGCTGTAAAAATTGATTTCATGAAGGCGTTTGACTCAGTGGATTGGGGTTTTTTAGGTAATGACTTCTATGAATTTCCCTGATGGTTATGTGAAATTGATTAGAGCCTTTATCACTACTCCTTTGATTCGATGGTTATGTGAAATTGATTAGAGCCTTTATCACTACTCCTTTGATTCGAGTGGCTATGAATGATGGATTATGTGGCAGAATTTTGGCTAGAAAAGGGCTCAGGCAAGGGGACCCATTGTCCCCTTACTTGTTTGTCATTGCTATGGAATTTCTCGATTGCTTAGTTAAAAAAGATGTGGCGGATAATCAGATACCTTTCCATCCAAGGTGTAAACCACTTCACATAACTCATGTATGTTTTGCTGATGACCTGGTGATGTTTACTAATAGATCTATTCGAGGAGTTGCTAGAGTTAGACGCTTGATGGACAAGTTCTACTCTATTTATGGGTTACGATGCAATCCCGCAAAATGCCAACTGTTTTGTGCAGGGATTTCTCAAGAGGAGAAAGAGAGTATCTCAGCATATTCTGAAATTTCGCTTGGCTCTTTACCTGTTAAGTACTTGGGAGTTCCCCTGCTTACGGGCAAGCTTTCTCGTAGAGACTGCCAAGTGTTAATTGATCGTATTACTCAGAAATTGAGGAGCTAGAGAACAAAATTGCTTAGCTATGCTAGGAAAATTCAGCTCGTTTCTTCAGTTATCTCTAGTACTCTGCAATATTGGCTCAACTTGTTTTTGTTGCCTCAATATGTGATAAAAGAAGTGGAGAAGCTATGTAATGAGTTTCTCTGGAACTCTGGTGAAGATGGTACAAGGAAGAAAGCTGTAATGGCCTGGGATTTGTTGGCAAAACCAAAGCAGGAAGGTGGATTGGGTATAAGGAATTTTGGAGTTTGGAACAAGGCTTGTGTCTTAAGACACATTTGGGACATACTAACTAATGAAGGCTCTCTCTGGGTTGCTTGGGTTGCTCGGTATCGTTTGAAGCAGCAGAGCATTTGGAATGTTGCTCCGAGTTCTACAGGGATGTGGATATGGAGAAGAATTCCGAAGTGTAGAAGTTTGGCTGCACAGTTTATTTTTGGAGTGGCGGCTGATGTTCTGTGGCAGGGTGAAAGGATGGAGAGATTCTCAGTCTCTAGGGTTAGGCAATCTATTAGGCAGCATGACCCCGAGTTGCCTTGGACAAAGTTGATTTGGGAAAAAGAAATTATACCTAGACATGGTTTTATTGTATGGCTTGCTATGCAGGATCGGTTGACAACACTAGACAAACTTTTGCTATGGGGGAAAATTGTTTCTGGATTGTGCTTATTATGTCCAGGGGGAATGGAAAGTAAAGTTCATCTGTTGATGCAGTGCTCGTATATTGATTTTGTGTTGCAGAAGTGCTTAAGGGTGTGTGCTCCTCCTCCATTTCTGCAGTGGGATCAAATGATTGACTGGTGTGTGCAGAATTGGGGAGGGGGGAAATCTGCTAAGTCTAAAGTGTGTCGCCTTACTTGGTGTGTTGCCCTCAGCTGGTTTTGGCGCGAGAGATGCTCGCATTTGTATGGAGATTGGCCTGCTCGTTCCCCATTGGAGATCTGTAGTGTAGTGTGTGGTGAAGTTACATGTAGGGTGAATGGAGATCCAGAAATGCAGAAAGTTCTTGTCTCCTTGACTGAGGTTGATAGTTAGATTTTTCTTTCTGATAGTTATAGTAGCTTGATAGCTCTTGTATATGACAGTTTGAGAGGTATTTGTAGCTTTACAAATGGCCTGAGCTTAATGAAATTTTTAGATTCCCATCTAAAAAAAATTCTAAAAACAACAAAAAATTAGTAAAATGAGTTCATACCATTTGATAGTCATCATAATAAATACCCTCGTTTTGGCACCAATCATCCATTTCTTAAAGAAGTCGGACAGAGATTCGACGGGTTTTGAAGGAAGAACCAAATAAATATTTTTTGATAGCAGTTCGGACTTAGCCGTAACCAACGGACCACTATTTCATAGGTTTTGGGGGGAGTGGGGATGGACAGAGAGATAAATTTAAAAAGATAGAGAAGAAAGTGTTTTGGTGTGAAGAAATGAGGAGGAGTGGGGTTTATATAGGGTTTGGACAGCCTGGTCGTGGGGGGGGGGGGGGGTGGTTTGGTAATTTTACACCAAAAGAAACCGCCCCCAGCCTACGTTTTCCTTTTTCCAATGCGCAAACCGCGCCTTCGAGGGGCGGCTATCACGGCCGGACGCGGATAGTTGACTTGGCGTGCGATCTGCCGTCGGATTGCGCCCTCATCCAACGGTTTGGAGGAATGTCACGTTGGGGAGCGGTTTTTTGGCTGCTTTAAGGGAAACCACCCTTCCACGTGCGGTTCTCCTTTGAACCGCCGCTTCACCAGGCGGTTTTCAAATAATGGTGGTAGATTTGGAATATTTTTGGGTGGTATTTTTATAATTTTTTTAACAGTGGTATTTCTGGAAAAAATCCAGCAATGACCGATTTTCAAACTATAAACAAAATGATGTCGTTTTGATGAATTGATCATAAAAAATAATTCTTGATTTGTTTCTTGAATTTGAAAGTCAAATATTTATGTTATTTGTTGGATTAAGTATAAATATTTAGATGTTTATGATATATGTTGGATTCAACTATAAACATTTGGATGTTGGCGTTAAATATTGTATTTCTATATGAGTAATTTTCATTTTGTATTTTATTTAAATATGAATGTAAATTTTTTTTATTGATTATCTTCAAATATGTGAAAGATGTGTATAAATACATTTAGTTTTAGTTATTACCAACTTTCCTATATATT